GGGGTCCCCGCGGGCCCGGGCCGAGGGCGGCGGGCGGTTGGGGCGCGGGGCGGGCTCACCTCGAACATGAGCCCCAGCAGGAAGACCATCGCCACACAGGAGACGATGTCCGCGTGATTCTGCAGGATGAATTCGTGGCTCAGGATCGGGGGGCTCTTGGTGCTCTTCTTGCGAATCGCCATGGTGAAGCCGCCGCCCGTGCCTGCAGGTGCTCCGCCTCGGCTCCGCTCCTCCCGGCTGCTCACCGACTCGCTGCCGCCGCCTCCCCCTGGCTGCTCCTCACAGCCCCGCCGCTGCCGCTCGCTGGGGCTTTACTTCCCATCCCCCAGCCAGTTGTTTTTCAAAAAAAAAAAAAAAAAAAAAAAAAAAAAAAAGCGAGCTCTCGGCAGGGACGAGCATGCGCAGCAGGGAGACGGCGCTCGCTCGAGCCGCGGCCGCCCCCGCGAGTCCACAGCGCCGCCTAGGGACCGGAGGCCGTCTGCCCGCGGCCGGGCGAGGGCACGGAGCCTGAGCGGCGTGCCCGCTGCTCCGCGCCCGGGCAGGGGTTGGGAGTCGTTTGAGTCGCGAGCTTCCTGCGCCTAGCGGACAGGCTGAGTCCGCGGCGCGGTACGCTGGTGGCCACGTGCTGCGGCGTGCACGGCCGCAAGCACGCTTTTCTGCCCTCCAGGCCACTCTGGACTTGGGTGTGAGTGCTTGCTCCATACCGTCACTCCTTGAAAGTCCCTGCCACCAACATAATCTGAACATATGAGTACAGCCTAACTACACGAGAGAATGATGCATTCTTTTGTTTTAGCATCTGCCTTAAAAATTAAGAGTTATTTTAAGCACTCCTGGGGATATTTTCCTATTCTTTGTAGGAACTAATTTTTTTTTTTTTTTTTTTTTTTTTAGGTTCTATTCGGCCCCGCCTACCGGGCGGGCCTCTGACTGAAGACATCGGGATCTGTTTGGGTTTTCTTGCTTCATACTGAATATTGGCAATACTTTTTAGTAATCTAGGTAGATGCTAAAAAAAAAAAAAGTATGAATTAGACATATCCTCCTTTCGTCTTTCCGCCCAAACCCAGACTCTTTTGTATTCTTTCCTGATGAATTGCACTACCATTTTCTCATTATGCCAAATCTAAAAACCCGAGCCATCCCGGGCTGATTCTCTTCAGCATCCTTCCACATCCAAACTTTTCTCAAACCCAGCGATTATGTCTGCCTTCCCCTTTCCCACTGCCACAGCCCCAGGAGGGGACTTACCTCTTGCCTGCAGTATGACAGCTCCGGTCGAACCACTCAGTTTAAGAATATGGGTTTTTGAATCAGAATTCTGCCACTTATTACCCTATGTGATCATGGACAAGTTACTTAATCTCCATGAGAATCGATATCCTCATTTATTAATATCTTTATTTAAAAAATATTTACTGGGCATCTACCATGTTCTACACTGAGGATAGATACATAACTGAATGAAAAATACAAATGAACCTGTTCTAATGGGCTTTCATTCTAGAGGTGGGAGAGAATATTTAAACAAGATTTTAAAAGTAAAACATGTTGACATGAGGGTCGCAGAGAAAAAATAAAGCAAGAGGAATAGGAACAACGTGAGGAAGTTACATTTGCCTAAAGACCTGAAGGAGATAAGGGAGCAAGCCACGTGGATATCATCTACAAAAAGGAGATGGTTGTAATGCCTACTTTAGCAATTAAATGAGATGATTCAAGGAAAGTGCTTAGTAGAACACAAGGGTTCTATAAATATTAGCTATTATTATTTCCCTCCTTTCTGGTCAAATGATTACTAGTTTCACTCACCTCCAAATTGCCTTCCAATTTTTACATTAGAATCATGCTTCGAACAGGCTTAGAAATGGAGAGTGGTTTCTCTTTTTCTTCATCAACAGCTAGCATGACTAAATAGGCCTTTATGAGTTGGCCCCTGCCTACCCAGACAGGCTCAGCCCTGCTTCTATAGGCCCTAATCTCTGAGTACCAGCATTATTGACTTCACACGTTATGCACCCTATAGCATGCTCTCTTCCCAGGCTCTCCTGTCGCTTTGTGTCTACTGCTGCTTCTGCCTGGAATTTTTCTTCTCTCTCATCATATACCCAGGACACTCCTATTGTTCCTTGAAGTCTCTTTCATGTTTGCCCTCTTTGAAACCTTCATCGACTGATGGACGTGGCTGTCTCTTATGATTTAATTGCATTTTTTTTAAAACAGCTTTATTGAGATATAATTTATATCACATAGTTCACCTATTTCAGGTGTGCAATTTGATGGTTTTAAATATATTTTAAAAGTTGCGCAACCATCACCATAATCTGATTTGAGTACTTTTTCATTATCCCCAAAAGAAAGACTTAGTCTTTGTTCTTGAAACTGATATACCTGGAATGGAAGACAGACAATAAAGTAATTGCCAACATGATGGGTATTTTCAAGGGTTTTCAAGACTTGCGTGGTGAATAATGCAATGGAAGTGTTCTAGGTCATTTGGAAATTAATGGTTCCACTAACATTGAGTTTCTAAACTGAACTTGACTCTTTCAAGCTTTAAAATTTATTTATTTTTCACTCTTTTTTGGGAAAGTACCACCACTGGTCTTTCAGTTGCATAAACCTATCGTGCTCTGGTCAGCCATAGGACTTGAGATGATCGTTGGTTTTGGCAATACAGTGGTCGTGTGGTTGTGTCAATTTGGGTTTGCCAGGAAACAGATGCCAAGACAGACTTAGAGTTGTAAGAGATTTATTGGCAATAACATTTGTGAAAAATAAAGGGGAGAAGAGTCAGTAGGGAACGCCTTCAGACTACAATACAAGTCTGACTCCTGTGAAGGAAGGAAGGAAAGAAGGAAGGAAGGAAGGACTGTGAAGGAAGGAAGGAAAGAAGGAAGGAAGGAAGGAAGGAAGGAAGGAAGGAAGGACTGGGTAGGAAGAGCCTCAGACTGAGGTGCTGTCTGAGGAAGTTTCAGCCAACCTAGTGGCGAGCTCTGGCACACTGGGCAAAGATGGACGGTCCTGTACCACTGCTGGGCTCAGTCAGGAGCTAGAAGCTCCCACCCTGCACTCTAGCCATCATCCAGAGAAGGTTGCAGCTTCTGTCAGGAGGCCCCCTTGGGCTCTGGTAACCACTCCCTGCTCTTGCCCCTTGAAGCACTCCATTGCTAACAGCCTCGGGTACTGCACTGTCGCTTTAGGTTTTCTTATACTTTCCTCACACCTTCAAAGAGTCCTTTGATGAAAATCTCCCCAAATTACCCAATTTGAATGTATCATTTGCTCCTGCTAGGACTCTGACTTATTACAAAGGAATCAGTGACTTTGAAGAGAGTGCTTTTTTTTTTTTTTGGAACGGTACAAATAAATGGCTGATTTGGAGTGGGTTCGAGAGAGAATGAGAAGTGGCAAGATGGAGTTATGAGTATAAGCAACTCATGCGAGGGTATTTTCCTGAAAGAGGAGACAGAGAAATGGGCAAGTAGCTGGAGAGGTGTCTAGGAGAGGTTTTTGTTTTCTTTTTGGATGTGACCTATTATAACGTTTGCACACAGAAGGATGACCCATTAGAGAGAGAAATTCCTTCTACAGGGAATACCTGCAGAGGCAAAGTCCTGAGGTAGGTAAGAGGTGATGGCATCTAGCGAACAAGTGGAGCCTCCACAGTAATGAGGATGGGGAACCCGTAGTAACCAGAAGGAGACAGGAGTTTATGGGTAGGTTGGTAATGGCAAGATGAAGTTGGCTTCCGATTGCTTGCTTCTATTTTCTCAGTAAAATATGGATAGCATAATGGAGCAGAGGAGAGAATGGGGTAAATCGTGGGTAGGTGAATGGATTAGGGGAATATAATCAGAGAACAGAGCCCACTTGGGACTTGTCGACACGAATTTAAAGTAACGAGTCAGCAGAGTCACGTAACTGTCTCCAGTCACATCCCCCTACGTGGACACAGTCACAGAGAAGGCAGAGAGTGGGGACTTGCCAGGTTAGCATGACAGAGGGGCAAGGATATTGAGGACGGACGGGCGTAGGTATGGGCAGGGATGACGAAGCGAGGGCTGTGCGGGGCAGCTGTGCTCCTTATACTCTGTCACTCTCCACCCTCTGTCACAACCCACCTCTCCAGACCGCATCACTCAGGCTCCCTCGCCCTCTCGCTTCTAGCTGAGTTTTGCCAATGGAAGGCACTGGCCAAAGGGCAGAGGAGAGTTCTGGGGATTGATTCTCTCATGATCTCTCCTTACCTTCCTGTGGTTTCAGCAGCGGCTGGGGGCTCGTAGTCCTTGTTAGTTGGCCTTTCTCTCACCGTTCCAGCTTTCCTGGGCTCAGTTCCTCATTCTCTCCCCTGCCTCTTCAGGCTCTGGGTGGGAATGGCTTCTCGTATTCTCATTTCCTGTCTCTGGTTGGCTCCCTCAACCTCTGTGAATAGGCCTTTTATTAAACTCTCTCCAGTTTAATTTTTCTGAGCATGCCATCTGTTCCTTGCCAATTCTCTGACGTATACAGAGGACAGAGAAATAGTGCTAAGACCTCTGAATTGGAGGTGCCCATGCGTTGAAGATTGTTGGCGTGCGGTAGCTGGTTGAGGAGGAAGTGGTCAGAGAGTGGGGTGCAGGGGATGAGTTCAGAGGTCGTGCAGTCACTGGCAATGAGACGAGAGGGGTATGAGGAAGGAAGTGGGTGGCTCAGGCGGACGGAGCGGGAGCGCATCGGGAGCGAGGAGTCAAGACGTCAGGAGGCTGGAGTGCGCGACACACGCTTTACGTGGATGTGCAGTCAGTCGCCAAGGATGACGGGCGGAGGAGGCTGGGAAGGGAGCCAGTGAGTGACCAGGCACTGGCATCTGGCCCGGATGAAGAGGAGTCAGGGAGGCTAGCGGATGACAGCCACAGAGTCCGTGGTGGTATAGTTGGAGGCCATGGACTTTCGGAAAAGCTGGACGTTTTGAGTGAGGGAAGAGAACTGTCTGTGAGCAGCAATGAGGATCATGAACACCCTCTCCCCGCCTAGTCTCTGTGGTATGTGAGGCGTGGAAGGGAAAAACAGCCACCTCTTGGGAAGGCCCTGGGGAAAGCAGGTTTCAGTTTTCAGTGAGAGCTGCAGCCAGGTTTCTGCATGAGAGGGTGGAGAAAATACTCAGAAAGAGGTGGAGGGTGTGGGGGATTCTGCAGATGACACAGCTGGGGTCCTAGAGGATACAGTGTCCGGCTGTGGAGGCCGTTGTGTGTCCAGCACTGTGCTGACTACTAGGTGTATAGTGACCATAGCCTGGGTAAATGATGTTTTGGCAAATGCAGCTTGGATCTGAAATGCTGAGATTCT